ACTTCTCGGTTACTTCTGTATCCTTCTGATTCAGTAATCCTATTGATCCTGACGACGAAGAACAATGGGTGGGTCATCGCCACCGACATGGCGAACGTCGAACACTGCCACCACTACGCGAACCATTGAACATGGCTCGCAGTCAGGCACTGGCGCTAGCGGGTAAGTTCTGCCATCTTTGGGTTGTCGAACTCCAAACGTTCGCACAAGGTTATTCTGTTTAGGTATGCCATCGGAAGCTTACGAAGGAACGTATCGGCCTGTTCCCGAAGGCAAATCACTGAACTTGCCATTCGCTTCGAGGTCAATTCTAGCCAATGAAGACAGACCGGCTGATCGACTCGTTGGGCAAGCGCTTGGACTTGGACGGTAACCAACACAGCCCTTTTTTGCTTTCTTTCTTATTTTCCTGCTGGGATTGAAATGTCGCCTACCCTTACGGAAAAGTTGTACTTAAAGACACGTTTCATGATTTGCTCATTAGATTAATACCCTTATGCAAATAATCCAGACCAATCCACAAGGACGTAACAATTTCGTGTTCTAACGTTTGTGATACGGGCATTAGTGAGTAATGGCATAGGTCTGGGATCAGGGTGAAATCAGTCGAGGATTTGTCAACGGCTCGTCGAGGATTTTCGCCTGTTCATCACGCTCTCCCGCGCGGACATTCACTCTCGCCATGCGCGAGCCGTCTGTGCTCTCCGCGCGTACATTCACTCTCGACACTACTCTCGCACAGTACAGAGCCACGAGGATTTCCTCGACCGTTATTCACCCTGCCTAGGAACGACCTCTATCACGGGACTTGTGCTCCACATGTGACTGCACCCTTCCCTTCGCTCCCACCTCACTTCAGCGTCTGCCCGACCCACTGTTTCTTGACAGCGAGTTCGTACCGTACGCCACTACTCAGAGAGAACTGCAAAAAAAGAGTTCGTTATTAATGACGTCACATTTTTTCTGTAGTTTTCTCTCAATAGCGCGGTCTTCTGCACATGCAGTTCCACATTCGAGCTCTCCGTATCGTGGAATGTGCCTCAACAGGTCATGCAAGCCACCCACTCATGATAAAATATGGTACTCAAGAGTAAGCATGTTTTAGCGCAAAAGGTGCTGATCAAAGAAAGAAAATAAAGAAAAACAGAGAAAAGAAAATTGAAGGGCTGATTTCCGCCGAAACCTGGTCAAATAAAGGTTATTCCAATTTTGGGCCGTTGCACCGTGACGACCTCTTGTGAAGACATTATCAAAACTTATGCCGAAGCACAGCAGAATCTTCTCGAATTCCCGCATTTAGTAGTGATTTTCTCATACAATGAGTTTTTCTCCAAACTTCTGCCCTTTGAAGTCCAACAAATAAATAATACTGCGTTAATCGAATTTCGGCCACAATTTTTCACAATCTCCAACGGTGTTAGACCAAATTCCGAAGATGGATTTACGGGAGAGAATACTCAATCACTCCCTTTGTAGTGATCTGGTTTTCCATTTCATACCACTAGCAAAAAACATGAATTTTCAGTGGGCGATTTTTGGCCCCGAATATTCCAGCCCATCGGTTCTTCGATGAAATTTGAAACCGTCCGCATCAAGCCCTGTTCCACTGCAGTCCAAAGAAGGTCAGAGTGCTTAAAAGAAGTAATCTCCTTCATTGCTATTACAAAGTTTCAAGTATCACAAATCTCTTTTCCCCTTCAAGGGTTTCCTTTCTGTTTACGTTTCAGATGTCAACCTAGAAATATGTATGCCTGAATTCATTGGGGGAGTATGTTTTCACGTGCAGTAACTGCGTCGAATATTCAGAAATGTTTTGGATGAAGTATCAATACAAACAAGTTAATTGTTGTTTTGCTGTTCTACGAAGTTTTGATAATTTCGTCGATACCTAATTGGGCGGAAGTGGTGTAGTGGCAAGTGGCACGCTTACACCGCGAGCGGTCCGGGGATCAAATTCTGGGTCTTGAGTCGCGCGGACTAACCAAGCCTTCCATCCCTCGGGGTCGGTTGATTGCTACCAGACTTGTCTTGGGGCAGAAACACTGATTGACACCGGCTGCCCCACTCTTGTATAGCATCATGGATTGCATACGCCCCCATCGAATTTACAATGGATAGAAGCGCGCGTTCCAAGGGAGATGATCCACGGGAAAGAAGCTTTATCCTTTATGTTTTGTATACAATTTTAGCATTAACGCTTCCCAAGGAATGACTTTAGGTTATTATACTAGCAGTTTATTTGAGTTAAACGGTCCCAGCAGGTTTTTTACCTGAGATATTAGTGTGGGACGATGCGTGGCCCCCAGTCGATTAAGAGGTGATTGAAGAAAGTCACCTGGAAGGCGCTAGAAAGGCTGAACGTTTCCGAGTGGCGTGTCGGCACGAGGTAAGCATCTGAGCAGCCTGAAGATGGCGTGATGCCTGGACAGGAGGATTTCGCGGATTTTGGCCAATGGGCTCACAAGTTCGAACCCTCTATCTCGAAATGCCTTCCGCAGATAAACACGCGATCTCACGGACTGGTAGAGGAGTTACGATCGTGGTGAACGTCCAGTCGAGTGATTAACATTTGCGTTCTAAGGTGAGTTTTTCGTTGGGTCACACTTTTATGTTTTGGGCTAGGACTAGCGCATCGTTCAAACATTGGTTCAAAGGTAACTCGCAGGATGTTGCTTTAATGGCTAACCAAGTCACAATTGACAAATCAAAGCCATCACATGGTATAAAATATTTCCTGATTTCTGAAATCAATCCCTATATCAATCAATTTAGATACATGGATCGTCGAGTAGTTGGAGCGGCTCGACGTGAAATCGAAGAAGCGTTTGCGTTGAAAGATCATGAGATGGATATGGCTGCAGACTCTTTGGCCCCACAGTTCATGCAACACGTCGGTATGAACGAGATGCGTGACTACAACGAGTATTCACGATCGGGATTGCTTCGACCGGCAGCCCAACCATCACAGGAAAGTGGCGGCTCACAGGAGGATCTGCTCCTGGTCACCACCCTCTAATTGCCGCCGCCACGCTCAACAAAAAATTGCTCCATTTTATGATTTTCTCCTTTGATTCTACCAAAAATCACGGTGATCAGTTACGTTTATCGACATTTTTCACCTATTAGATGCCCTATATAGCGCTTTATTACGACTTTCAGAGTACATATTGGATATCAAGAGAGTCAGTTAAAATTTGTAAGTGTGTATTTGTGTGAATTTGTGCCACAATCGTGTTTTTCGTAACCTAGTCCAGTCCCCCGATGAATATGGGACGCAATGTTCGAATACAGGTCAATGGTCACCCTCCACTAGGTAACACTATTCGAGTACCCCTACTTCATTACCCTGCTCACCTTTCCACACCCCTTTCATTCGCGGTATCTTCCTTGTTTGTTATCGATAATGATGTCATCGTTGTCAATTTCATTATTTTATTAATTTTTTATTATATTTTTCATATTTCATATGATCGTTTCATGGTGATTTCTAATTAAAGTGACCTTGAAGAGATTCACTTGGATATAATCCAAGTACTATGGCTCTATTTGTATGAATAGATTATCTGTTTTCTATTTTCCTAATTTTTTGTTTGTCCTGATTTCCAATAGTGTTCTGGTGCTTTTGGGTCTTCTGGATCAAGTATACATTGATAAATCGTTCACTAATAAATCCAACACTTGCCTTTTAAGAAAAATGGCTTGACAACGTGCCCAAGCAAGGCGCTCTCGAGTGCTTTTACAGACTAGTAAATCGAATTTTCACAATGGAAAAATAGTAAAATGGTATGGGATCACAATGGTAAAATTGCGTTATGAGTGCTGCTCTTGGCTTGAGCCCTAATATTATTGGAGCCAATGCCTTTCGATGGGGCCAGGGTCGACCGTAACAGGGTAAACTTTTGAGGAACACGACCCTCTGGGGCCGTGTGCAGCAGTACCCGGCCGCAGACTGGTCCACAAAACTCTGCATCTTTGGGCGCATCTCCGTATTCTTGACCATGAGGACGGCATCATCGATAAGTATAGAAAGGCAGAAGTGGGTGACACAATGACAGATATAACGACTACGTCCCAAACT